CCAATTTTCCTTTTTTCGCATTTCCGATCAACCCGACGATTAGCTACGTTTAATGAGATGACGTCCGACAAATTAGTCGTGGAATTCTTAAAACTTCGATACCCAATTCGGATTCTAATTAATGGCCAAATTCAATCGAACGCGACTTTAGTGTATCTCGAACTAACGAGTGGCTTTTAAAAATTACGAGTATCGATTCGTGACCGATTTGATATCGAGCCACATCTAAGTTTACTCAAGCCATGGCAATCTCGGTTGTCATGTAATTGTGAGGTCAATCACTAGTTCGGAATGACGCGATTGTTCGGATTAGGTTTAGGATCGTTCGAAATTAATACAATGGCCAAACGGAATCACCCGCGATCCAATTGCACGACATTTGCAAATAATTCTATAACCATCCTTGGATCGGCCTTTAACGGCTCAAAATATTCCATCGCCAATCCTTATGGTCGAAATGTCAATCCATGGCCAAGTTCTTAGGGTCCACGTACTTGATTCCTAGCTAGCCATTCCCTAACGGTTAGTCTACTCGAAAGTGAGCAATTCCGAGCAAGATTTCACTGAAAGCGCATTGAAGAAATATTCATTTCATACATCCCGAAAATGGGTCGAAATTCAAAATGTCATACATACTCTCTCTCTCTAGTACCTAGTACCCCGTAGCTGGCCCTCCGGATGAGCCTCCACATCCCTCAATGCACTTCGAAATTCAAACAAGTCACCTTCCACTTCTCTGTCTCTTTCTCTTCACTCTCCAAGAACACAAAGAAGTCAGGCATAGGGACATAAACACTTTTAGTTTTAGTGACGGAGGATTTGGGACCAGTGGTGCTGTTGGTGCCGCTCGGCCCGAGACTACTGTTCTAGATCCCGGGATGCCACCGGGTGGTCGAGTTCGCAACATGCGGACCAGCGGTGCCTTCATCATCGTCCACGCCATCATCTTCTTTGGCCTCATCACCATCTTTAAATAGGGAAAAAGGACAAAAATCGAAACTTTAGCAGTCACAAACCTTGGTCGATCTTGGGTTCTTCCAGATTTGCTACCCTCCCCCCACTCCCTCCTCTCCATCATCAGGTTGGGGCCGAGGTCGAGTTCGGCGGAGAAGGAGGAGTCGATTGAGGCGCGTGAGGAGAGAGTGATGGCGGGCAAACTTGGTGAAGAAAGACCAAAAAAGGGAGGACAATCTCTTTCGCTAGACATCTCTCACGATCTTCTTCTTTTTCTAAAATAGGAAATCGAGCCTGATTGTGCCCTAGAGGCTAGAAATGCAGATGCAAAAAAAAACAAAACAAAACAAAATAAAAACCCGAAACCCGACCCGACCCGACCCAAGGTTTCAGCTAGGGTTATTTGAGATTCGGGTAGTGTTTGGGTCAACTAGAACACACATCTCCTATGGGTCGGGACGGGTCGGGTAGCTCGAAAACTTGACCCGACCCGATCCATTGACACCCCTACCAATTGGTGGAAGAGATCTTGGAAGGATGACACCGTACCTCCTGAGAACCCTCCTTTCTAACAAAGGTATAGATATATTTCTATAAACCACGTCAAATTAGTTTACTAGTCTATTTCTAGGAACTTTAAGGTAGCACTATAAACCAATGTGTATTAAATGTCAGTTGTTATTACCAAGGACTTTCCTTTCATGTATGGTACGGAATTGGTCGTAAATTATGTCATTTGTCTTTAGGAACTCTAGGTAAGACTACATAACTAATGTTGTATTAAATGTCGGTTGTTGTTGCCAAAGAAATGTCACTTTGTAGTTGGTAGGAGGATGAAGTTACCCTAAACAAGATATAGGAGCTGCTGGACTCCTTGATTTTAAGAAGTAAATTAAGCTTTGGAAGAGATATTTTCATTTCAAATTTCAAAGGATGTGAATGTAGAATGGTATACATGCATCGTATGAGTCGAGGCCATCTAGTCAAGTAAGAAAAAGCTGTCATAACCATCGAAAATGTTTACATATAGGAAAATTGACGTGACATTGAAGGGACTTCCTCCCTTGATAACAAGAGTAACTCTAGCCAAACGTATAATATACGTTTTTGGGGTCATTTTAAATTGAGTGCTCTTGGCATACTCGTGTTAAATATAATTTATACGGTAATTAATTCAATCTATAAAAGTAGTGATTATACATAACGCGAGAGTAATCATAGCATTAAAAAATTGGAAGTTTTTTCATACCACCTTCTTTCCCTCTCTCCACTTCCCAACATACGTTGGCAGCTCTAAACTGTATCACAGCAGTAGCTCTAGCTATGATGGTGGGGGTGATGGGTTTGGTCAAGGATCTCTGCTTTTTGTGGCACTTTTCTTTGTTTTGTACACTTTCTTGTGATTGAACCCATAATGAATTGGACTATTTGTGTTTCGAATTGAAGCGAGATTGTCTAGGTTTCTATACTTGCCATTATGAAGAAGGTAGCAAAGTATAATCTTTCTTCTTTTCTTTTTTCAATGGAGAGACCATAATTTGTAAAATCAAAACGACAAGTATTGGCTATTGTTGGCACCTCAAATTTTGTTCAAAGATTTTCGTTGCTCTTTAAAAAAATCAAAGAGACTTAAAGACTAATTGATAAGCTAATGGTTGGAAATTAAAGGGACAATGCCATAATTTGTTCATGTACTTTTCTTCAATGTTCAATTTGGATCTCATGTTCTTTCAATGGGCCAATTTATTCCTTCAATTCGATTTGGTAAGATCGGCATCTTGACATGGCAATCCAACTTCGTCATGGGACTTGTGTTTGTTGATGTGTTTTTACCCGTCAGTGCCATATCAACAAAAATTGTAAAAAAAAAAGACTAACAAGAGAGGAAAATAAATTAGAAAAAAAGGAACATACATGAACTAAAGAACAACACAAGCTGGAAAGAGAAAGGGGGTTCCGTTGAATGATGCTGTGCAGCTGTGTTCTTTTCTTGATCACATATCTCCTTTGATGGGCGTCATTAAGTACTAAGTCACATGCTCTATATTCCAAGGGTGTGTTTGTTTGAGTGAAATAAGTTTCCGCAAATTGATTTCTGGACTTTTTCACGTGTCTGATTTGTTGAAAATGATTAGTCAATAGAGAACTATTTACAGCAAAAAAAAAAAATGTAGGCTTAAAGTTAGGAGAATGAACTCCGTAACAGGAAAAGGGGAAAACATTTTCTTTTATTATGAATTGTTCCTCGAAACAAATACACCCTAAGATGAATTTTTAAAGTAGTGAGCATGTGCTTATTAATTCTACGTTACCTTCAATGTCATAAACAACCGCCAAAGGCGACAACCAACGAGGGTTGGCCTCACCGGCTTGGGGCGAGGTTGAGCCTCGCTAGAGGCCAACGAGGATCGGCCTTGCCGGGATTTGGTGAGGGGTGACCTCGCTAGCCTCGAGCAAGTCTCGCTTCGCCAAATTCAGAGAGGGCCCTCGCCAGCCATCACTGAGGCTCGGCGACTAGTGAAGGAAGAAGGAAAAATAAATAAAGAAAAGCAAAAAAATATAATAAAAAATAATAATTTTTTTAAAATTTGTCTATGTCAGCATCGGCCTTGCCACGTAGGACGGCCGGCGTCCACGTCAGCAATTTCTAGTCAAAATTGGCCGAGTGAACTACATTGGCAAAATGTCAAAAGGTTTATGACTCAATGGGCCAAATTGAAAGGTTTGGGACTGAATTGGTATAAGTGCAATAGGCACTACAAAAAAACATGTTCTTTGCGACGGATTTTGGGACGAAACAATCGCAAAAATCCGTCGCAAATCGATTTTGCGACTAATTTAGCGACGGAAAAAATTCCGTCGCTACTAGGTCGTCGCAAATTTTTGCGACAGAAATTTTTTTTTCCGTCGCAAAAAAATTCGTCGCAAAATTCGTGGCAAAATTCATCGCAAAATGCATCGCAAAATTCGTCACAAAATTCCACTACAAAAAAACATGATTTTTGCAACGAATTTTGCGACGAAAAATTTGGAAAAATTCGTCGCAAATTGAATTTGCGATGGAAAAAATTCCGTCGCTAATAGGTCGTCGCAAAATTTTGCGACAGAAAATTTCAATTTCCGTCGCAAATTTGCGACGGAAAAAAATTCGTCGCAAATTAGCCACGAACACTATCCGTCGCAGAATTCGTCGCAAAATTCGTCACAAATTAGCCACGAACACTATCCGTCGCAAAATTCGTCGCAAATTAGCCACGAACTTTATTCGTCGCAAAATTCGTCGTAAATAATTCATCGCAAATAATTCGTCACAAATTAGCCACGAACTTTATTCGTCGCAAATGTAGTTGCAAAATTCGTCGCAAATATCGACGCAAATTTCGTCACAAATTTAGTCGCACATTTCGTCGCAAAATTCGTCGCTAATTTGCCAAAAAAAAAAATTTGGTCAGTAATTTGCGGTGAAGTTATTCGTGGCAAAATTCGGCGATAATTTGCCACCAAATTTTTTTACTTTTGCCATTAACATTATTCATGAACGAATTTAGCAACGATTTTTTATTAATTCTTTTGTGACGAACTCTGCGACGAATATCGTTTAGGGACAAAATTAGCGACGAAATTTTATTTTTGCAACGAACTTTTGTAATTTGTGATCGTACGATAAAATCATTTATTTTATTTTTCGATTTTAAACCTAATTAAAAGCAAACTTAATTTTTGGAACTTATATTTAACATTGATTAAGCACTTAATAACATCAAAATATTATAATAATATGAAAATGAAATACATTCATCTACATTTTCCACAAGAATGACATAAATAAAGAACCAAACTGAAAGGTACATTCTTCCTCTTCAAGATAGACCTTCTCAATTGACGAACTATCCAACCAAAAGGTGTTCTCAACCTTGTTATCAGAAAAAAGTTCACAGAATATGTTCTTGGCTCCACCAAGTCTAGCAGCCAAACCTTCTAACCTTCTCCATGTCAACTTAAGTAGCTTCATGTCAATGGTTTCAGGTGAAGTCCCCATAATGAGGCCATAATGAGGCCAAGTAGAATGCATAATGGCCATAAGGACTTTTTTGCTTCGTACACGATAGTTGCGGTGGATGCGTTGTAATTTATCTGTCATACCTGTCCAGAGTACGCACCAAGAATCGTGTAAAGCTTTGACTTTAGATTGTCACCTATAAATTTTTGCCCTGTCGCTTTTCATTGAATAGGTCTTTGCCAATCCTTTTAAAAAAGGATCTTTGCAGTGCACTTTCATGAATAGTTTTTGGAAGAGAATATACCAAAGAATGAACAACACTACACCTAAAGCATAAAGCACATGTCCTTAGCTTTTGGATGATAAAACCTAAATTTTTCTCCTCCGAGCCTTGGACACCCAAAATAAAAATCCAACTAAAACAAGGATCTGAATTTGAAAACAATCATTCGTTTTGCAAGAAACGACAGCTTCTCAACATCTAGTTCAATGAAAGTCTATATGCATCGCAAGCTAATTGATCTTAATTAATTAGGAAAACATGGACACTAGATGAAAATATGCTTGAGCAGAGGGCCTTGTCTTGCGTTGTCCAGAATCCACCTCTAAGTGACTGGTGCAACCAATTCTCTAATCTAGATGCGACAGATTAAGACCTTGACTTACCTGAACAGTCTGTTCATTGGTTTGAGAATGTGTGTCAAAACGGCGAAGCGTCAAGCCATCTGTCCATTTCTTCTTGTGAAGATTAAGTAGCATTTTTTCCTCCAGTTCATTCTTTCTGTAATTGATGGCAATTGAGTAATAGTGTCTGTTCAGCCCATAGATCAATGCCTAAAAATATGAAGTCAACCCCAGGAGATAAGATCAAAACTCAATATTCAAAGAGAGCATTATCTGGTCAGCACTCACTTGGATGGACGGTTTGTTGAGATGTCCAAGGTTGGAGGTTGTCTGCCTGGGTTCTTGGCCAAGCATCATGGTTTGTGGGTTGATCAAACGGAAGGCATCAATCACCACCTTCCCTTCGACACTCTAAATGGGATCCACAACTACTGCAACCGCACGCTGATTTAAAGCCTCAAAACTCTGATTTTATAAGAACACATCACAAGTATAAAGCAGCCTTGTTAACAATTGGATCCAACTGGAAACCTATAACCAATTATAGTCTAGCAAAAAAAAAAGACATAAGAAACCAATCATACACGAATGCAATAGGCTATGGTCATCAACCCACTGTAAACCATGAGGAAACAATTAAAGCTGGAAACATACCATTGGGAATGTCCTTAAGCTGTATACCACGACCCTGAAATACCAGCAAGCCATTAATCCCTTGGAAAAAAAGATTAAAAAAGAGAGTCCAAGCGTGCCAGTACCTTTTCGATGGAGAAGCCCTTGCTGGAGGGCGTCCTGACGAGGGCAGGAGCGGAATACAGCTCCACCAATGTCCTTTCTCTGGTGGGCCGCTCGATTCCGGGCGTCACCGAATCTTTCTTCGCCGCGCTCGATTTCCTCCTCCTCTTGGGCACGCCCTGTTTCTCCACGGAGCTCCCTCCTTTCGGATTCTCCTCGCTCTCCTTCTCTTTCCGGGCGTCGTCCCCATCGTCATCTTCGGCCGAGGCCTCCTCGTCGGAAGCCTCGGCCGGAGCGGCGATCTCTCGGTCCTCTTGATCTGCCTCCTCCACCTCTGATTTCTCGGGGAGCTCCTCCTTGCCCTCGACGGGGGAGGAGCCGCTGCCCCTTAGCGAAAACCCTTAGCGAGCGCGAGAGGTTTGGGGGTGTGGGGGAGAGGGAAGAAGCAGAAGCGAGAAGGAGAAGGAGAAGCGGAAGCAGATCTCATATGATCGAGAAAGAGGGAGAGAGAGGGAGAACAGTGAGCGAGAGAGAGAGAGAGAAATTGGGCGTGAGGGCGGGGCTTTGGGGCGCTCTTTTTTTAATTAAATTTGCGACGAACTTTATATTTCGTCGCCAATTTTAGCGACGAACCTTATGTTCGTCACAAATTTTTGCGACGGATTTTGTTTCCGTCGCAAAAATTTGCGACCGATTGCGACGGATTCTGTCGCAAATTTTTGCGACGGCTTTTTTTTCCGACGCAAATTTTTGCGACGGATTTTGTTTCCGTCGCAAATTTGCGACGGATTTTTTTTTCCGTCGCAAATTGCGACGGATTTTTTTTCCGTCGCAAAAATTTGCAACGGATTTTTTTTTCCGTCACAAATTTGCGACGGATTTTTTTTTCCGTCACAAATTTGCGATGGATTAATTTTTCTGTCGCAAATTTGCGACGAACTAATTTGCGACGGATTTATTTTTTCCGTCGCAAATTTGCGACGGACTTATTTTTCCGTCGTAAATTTGCGACTGATTTTGCGACGGATTCCAAAAATAAAGGGCATTTTCCAAATCCGTCGCAAATTTGCGACGGAAGTGATCTTCGCGGCACATGGCGCCCATTTTTTCAAATCCGTCGCTAATTTGCAACGGAATTAGCGACGAAAATGTTTATACCGACCAATTTTTCAAATCCGTCGCTAATTCCGTCGGAACCTTGAGTAGATATGCTTCTTACAATGACACATTACTCATATTTGATGAATTAGTAAATGTCATGATCTAATTCGTCTAAGGGCGGCAAGTCTGGTGATGTTTTTTTTTTTTTTCATTAGAGCAGCGGAGGAATGTCAAACAACTATGGGAGGTTGTTGCGAAATGGGCCGATGTGACTAGCATTACGAACACTGTGGAGAAACATGACTGATGTGGATGTCGTTGTTACAAACAGACTCGATTGACGCTTTCTCAAATAACAATAGGGCTCTGATACCAAGTCAAGAATGTGATAAAAAAAATTAAGAGCAATATATATATATATATATATATATATATATATATATATCATTGTCAAATGAAGAGTACACGAACCTATTTATCGGTTTTATAGGATGACTATCTAAAAGGGAAAATATCAATTACAATCAATTAAAGGAAATATAGGGAATCTTCTAAATATTTCTCTAATAGAATGCATGCCCTCTATTCATTCATCATTCAGATGTAACCCTTTAGGAATAATTCATCTAATTGGTTAGATCAAATTGGTTAGGTCTAAATAAGAATATCTCTTTTATATGATCTCCTATACATATTCCCATATAGATACATTGACTTTACATTTCATACATCCACCCGATTCCGATCTATTTGAAAATTGCTATAATTTATTTACCCATATATTTACGCATACATAAGAGCTACATGCGAAGGAAACCGCCATATTCAACTAAATAGATATCTGTGTTATCTATATCTAAGTCTTGAAAAAAAAGAGGATAAGATTTGCACCTATCGAATCTAAAAAAGCTTATTTGGGACGAGAGCATTTTAAAAGATTATCTAATATCTTGAGTTTATAACAGATCTTCTTATCTAATTTGAATTTGTAATATCTAATCTCTTTTAGAATTAGACGTGTAGCAAATCGTCCAATCTCTTTTGAATTTGAACTTGTGACAATCATCCAATTCGTCTCTACTTTCGTCGCAAAATGGTAAATTTCGTTGCACAAATTAGAGACGGAAAATAAATCCGTCGCAAAATTCATCGCAAATTTGCGACGGAAAATTAGTCGTCGCTAATTTGCGACGGAATTAGCGACAAAAATTTTTCGTCGCAAATTTGCAACGAATTTTGCAACGGATTTATTTTCCGTCGCAAATTGGCGACGGAATTTGCGACGGAATTTTTCCGTCGCGAATTTGCGACGGATTTCTAATTCCGTCTCAAATTTGCGACGAATTTTGCGATGGATTTATTTTCCGTTGCAAATTTGCGACGAATTTTGCGACGGATTTATTTTCCGTCGCAAATTTGCGACGGAATTAGAAATCCGTCGCAAAGTTTGTCGCAAATTAGCGACGAAAAATTTCCGTCGCAAAATTCATGTTTTTTGTAGTGAGGGTTAGGACTTTTTTGGTAATTTTCCCCTCTAATCAACATGCATCAAATTTAAGGTTGTGGGAATTATTAAATTTGACAGTCTCGAAACCATCTGGCCTTTCTTTAGTATTACCGATAAAGAAAGTTTTATAAATTATCTCATGATTTTTCTATGTATTTGTGGTGATTTGGATAAATAATTCTTTTTCTAGAATCTCATATTCATCAATTTTCACTTTAGATCCAACCAATGCAAAAGATATGTGGACTATCTCATTTATTTCTTTACGAACTGAATTTGAGTAGCATCGCCAATTAATTATAACTACTAATACTGTGGGTGTGAGAGCGAGTCCATAATTATACGTAATTTTTCAGTTTGCTGAATCGACTTAGTTAAACTTGTAAAATTACGTATTAATAATCTTTCTTATCTATTTGCCCAAAAACAAAAATCTTCTTATCGAAATTAGATATGCTAGACTTGTCACTCATATTATAGTGTGTGTGAGCTTATGAGTTATGATTGTGAAAGTATCAGTATGTTGTATCAATACCAGTATTCTTAAATTGAAAAAAATAGACTAAAGGGACGAAACGGAAAAAGGAAAATTCAGAAAGAATAAAAAGAAAAAGAGAGAAGAGAGAGTTGTTAAGAGAAGAAGAGGACCGATTGGAGGAAGAGCTCTTGGAAGGATGACACCGTCCCCCCTAAGAACCCTCCTTTCTAACAAAGGTACATATAGATTTCTATAAACCACGTCAAATCAGTTTACTAGTCTATTTTTAGGAACTTTAAGGTAGGACTTTAAACCAATGTGTATTAAATGTCAGTTGTTATTACCAAGAGCTTTACTTTCATGTATGGTACAGAATTGGTCGTAAATTATGTCATTTGTCTTTAGGAACTCTAGGTAAGACTACATAACTAATGTTGTATTAAATGTCGGTTGTTGTTGCCAAAGAAATGTCACTTTGTAGTTGGTAGGAGGATGAAGTTACCCTAAACAAGATATAGGAGCTGCTGGACTCCTTGATTTTAAGAAGTAAATTAAGCTTTGGAAGAGATATTTTCATTTCAAATTTCAAAGGATGTGAATGTAGAATGGTATACATGTATCGTATGAGTCGCGGCCATCTAGTCAAGTAAGAAAAAGCTGTTATAACCATCCAAAATGTTTACATCTAGGAAAATTGACATGACATTGAAGGGACTTCTTCCTCTGATAACAAGAGTAATTCTAGCCATTTTTGGGGGTCATTTTAAAGTGGGAGCTCTTGGCATACTCATGTTAAATATAATTGATACGGCAATGAATTCAATATCTAAAAATAGTGATTATACATAACGCGAGAGTAATCATAGCATTAAAAAATTGGAAGTTTTTTCATTTATTTATTAACGAGTACCCCTTTTCTTTTCTTTAATAATTTAAGTTTCCTATCCCAAAGATCATAGAGGAACGAAAGATATAATCGGTGGAGCTTGATCGTCCAAACCAACAATTAATTGAAACATGGTTATTGCAATATAGATACAGGCCCAGGATAGATCATTAGTTTTTTTTTTTATTGAAATATTCAATGCCCAATGTCTATATAAAAAGTAGGGTTAATACTACAAAACATTTCCAAATTAGTACCTCAATTGGCTCTGTTGACATTCTGTCTAATATCCTGGTAAAATACATATGTTTCAACGGACGTGGACGATGATAGATCCGATGTGGAAAATCCACATGTGTTGATAAGCATGCACTTTGACGGAGGGTAGATTTGGGTCAAGGACATTAGTTTTGGATTTTTTGTGAGCAAAAAATTAGTCTGGATTAATATGTTGTGACATTTCGAATTTCGATCCATTTTTTGGATTTATAAAACGGGTATTTCATCAGTGTACTTATATTAAAATCTCGCCCGGAACTGATCATTCTTGAGTTATTTTTAAATTAGAGATTTCGCTAGAATTGCACTCGATCGAATTTGGCCGTTATTTAGAGCCCAAACTTTGGTGTCGAATTTCTCGGAGTTTCGTGACAAATTTAATTGGACGGTGTCGATATTATTATGACCAGTGTCGACATTGCTCGGGATAAGTGAAAAGAGAAATTTGAACCAGGTACGGATTTGAACTAGTAAACCTCCCTCGTAGTGTGTTTTGTTTAGTGTCTGTGGGCCAAATCATAATCTCGTGGGCCGTCAGATCGATTTCGGATTTGAATGTGGGCCGTCGAATCGCACTCGAGTGCGTTGACTTTCCCACTCTCTCTCTCTCTCTCTCTCTCTCTCTCTCTCTCTCTCTCTCTCCTACCCGCGCATGTTCCCCCCCCTCGGTCACTTCCGCTCCCCCTCTCTTTTCCCACACGTCCACTCATCCCTCTGCATGGTAGACTTTTTCCCCCCCTCTCCCTCTCTTCCTTTTTCTCTTCTTCTTCTTCTTCTTCCTTTTCTCTTCTTCGGTCGTGACTCCTGCTTCTTCTCACCCGCTCGCCTCCCTCTCACCGCCCGGCCACTGCACGCCATTCGACCCGCCGCCGCACGCTGCCTTCTCATCAACAAGCCACCACCACCTCGGCTCCACACCAATCGAGCCGGGCGACCACCCGTCACCGGTCCGCCCGAGATGCACGCGAGTGCTGGCCTCTGCCCGGACCAACCGCCACCATCGTTCGTCGCCGCTGCGCCCGCCGCGGTTCGGCGCTGCCCAGGCACTTGTTGGCCCGTCCTCCGTCGCCCGCGACGCCCGCGACGCCGCCGTACCGCCCCCGACCGCCGCGCGACCATCCCTTCCCTCTGTTTTTCTTTTCCCCGGCGCCTTCCCCTATTTTGGCTCCCAGGCTTTGCCATTGCCGCGCGCCACCATTCTGCCCGCCGCCACTCCACCTCCGCCACCCAGCCTCTCCCCTCAGCCACCTCCGCCGCCCTGCTGCCCCCCCTTGGCCACCATCACACCCCCTTCCCCTGTTTTTTCTTCTTCCCCGACGCCTCCCCTGTTTTTGGCTCACCCCGGCTCCGCCGCTCACCCAGCAGCCGCGCCCAGCCGTCCCAGCCACTGCGCGCCACCGTCCCGGCCGCCGTTGCTCCGCCCGCCACCACCCAGTTGCCCCAGCAGCCGCCGTGCCCGTACCTCGCCGAGCTCGCTGCTGCCCCAACAGGCCATTTGGGCCTTTGCCGATTTTCCGTGGGCTTGGACTTAGGTAAGCGACTCCCTAAACCCTACCTAGGACAATCGGGTATTGTTAGACTTGTTTAGAGGTCTGCTTATTGAGATTTATCTCATCCCCTGTTGTTAAACATTTTCAGGTTGGAGTGACGGATAGTCGTCACGTGCAGTTCAAAGACCGGGAGTGACCTTGGGCATTTGATGCTTCGCTTCATCTTTGGATGCCCCCTTTTGTATAGTCAAGTAGGCTACCCAACCACCACCCCCTTTTGATGATCGTGGTTTGAAGTTAGTAGCCAGGGGTTGATGTTATGTATTGTGAATGCTATAGGTAATTGCCAAGCTTGTTATGCGTATATTGATTTGTGCAAATATTATCCTTTGGTCATTGTTTATTATTTGGGTTGTTTAATTTCCGCTTCCGCTTGCGTTTGTCGTTGGGTGTTTCGTTTGGGGTGGCGGCGCGTCCTGGGACGTCGCGTTCAATACGATCATCGAAGGGGTGTCGCAAGCCCATTGGGGATCGGGGCGTGACATCCCCGTTGATTTGGTATCAGAGCAAGGTCAGCTCGATCCAAGTTGGTCGAAGCCTAGAGTGATAAGGAGCGATGACTTTGAGGTAGTCAGTTAATGAGACTTATGTGCCATGCGTGCCCCAGACTATTTGATTATGATTGCTAAGTGATTTTATGCAATGACATGTGAAATGCAGGTGCGTCAGGAGTTGAGGTAAGTGCACGAACTCTGTTTGTTGTGATTGGGTGTTGTTTATGATTGGCTGCCTGCTTAGTGAATTGTTGTTGCGATTCACTGCCTACGGCTTTAGACTGGTATAGTTGGCCTAGATCTCTAATTTCCGAGTGGAATTATAGCAGGTAAGCGGGTGTAAGACCCAGTGAGAATGAGCAGTCGAGGTAGAGGTCGAGATCGAGGTCGAGGTCGTCTGGCCCCGCAAGCTAGAGTTGCAGAGGATCCCCGAGTTGATGGAATTCTGAGAGTACTAGAAGAAGTTGGGATTTTAATGGATAGGCAGACTGAAGAGCGAAATGCTACTGTTGCTGCTGCTAAGGCGTTGTTGCCGCCGCCAACAGAGCCAATGGGAATAATGGGAATCATGGGAACAATGTGAATGATGGGAACCCTGGTCAAGGACAGGTAAATGCAAACAGACCGATGTCCAAGCTGGTCGAGCAATTTTTGAAGTTGAAACCCCCGAAGTTTGATGGGAGAGGTGATACTGAGGCTGCACCTCGGTGGGTGGAAGAGCTAGAGAAAGCTTTCGAGGTGCTGGGATGCACGGAAGAAGAAAAAGTAACCCTAGCAGTCTACCAGCTTTAGGAAATGCAAGCGATTGGTAAAGAGCCACCAAAGGTCAAGTGTTCCCCTCTAGTACTGCCCTGAATTGGACTGTTTTTATCGAGATCTTCAATGGCAAGTATTTCTCGGAAAGTACCCGAGAGCAGAAATTGGCAGAATTCATGAGGCTTCGCCAGGGTCAGATGTCGGTAGACCAATATGAGGCCGAGTTTGCAAGGCTGTCCGAGTTTGCCCCAAGAATGGTAGAGGACCCGACGGACAAAGCCAGGAGGTTTCGAGATGGGCTGAAGTCGGACCTCCGCAGTCAGATGATATCATTGAACTTGAGAGGTTATTACAAGATTTATGATCGGGCTCAGGCAACTGAGCGTGATTTGATGGATCGGGCTGCCGCCCCTGATCGCAGTATGCCCGGGCTAGGGACAATCGTCACGTTGGAAAGAGGCCAATAATGGGAAATAGTCGCTTCGTCCCTCCCATTAGGAAGAATATCGGGAAGCCGGCTCACCATTCGAATACGACTTGTCGATTTTGTGGGGGAAGACACGGAAATGGGCCTTGCTCGAGTAGGGGTGGAGTATGCTTTGGATGGGTGGCCGAGGTCACCAAGTGAGAAACTGCCCGAACTGACGGGTTAGGCCGCCGATACAACCGTGGTAACCGCGAGTAAGACATCAAGCAGGAGCTGCTCCACCGAATAATCAGAATCGACTATGGGCGTAAGGAAAAGTGTAAGTTGTGGCTGGGAAGAAAGCGGAGGACTTGTCTTAAGGGTCTAAATACGATGTGTAAGGATTTTGGTGTATTATAAGTGATTTTTGGAAATTTTAGATTCAAATGGTCGTGTAAGATGTATAATTGCTCATGGTAAATTGACGCAATCAGTTTTTGTATTTTGGAATTACTGATGATATCCTTTGACAAGATTTGGATGAATGAGTTATCGCTTGGAAATTTCGGATTTTGTAAAGAACTAGGGCGATTGTTTTTGGGAGACCGTTGGATTGAAATTGGATGGATTGAGCTTTGTCATTGAGGTGTAGAAAGATAACTATCCTTTGGTTAACTCGTTGGTTAAGGAGTCAAGGCTAGAGGACATAGCCGTGGTATGCAATTTCCCCGGTGTCTTTTCTCAGGAATTGCCGGGATTGCCACTTGATAGAGAAGTGAAGTTTGTGGTTGAGTTAGCGCCATGGACAGAACCGATCTCAAGAACACCCTATAGGATGTCGTTGTCGGAATTAAAAGAATTAAAGGTCCAAATGCAGGAGTTGCTGGATAAAGGCTTTATCCACTTGAGTGTGTCTCCATAGGGAGCGCCAGTGTTATTCGTGAGAAAGAAAGATGGGTCTTTGATGTTGTGCATTAACTACAGACAGTTGAATCAGGTGACCATTAAGAATAAGTACCCACTACAACGACCTGTTGGATCGGTTGCAAGGAGCATCGATATTTTCTAAGATCGACTTGAGGACGGGTTACCACCAATTAAGGATTAAGAAGGAGGATATACTAAAAACGGCATTCAGGACAAGATATGGGCATTATGAGTTTACGGTAATGCCGTTTGGATTGACTAATACCCCTGCTGCCTTTTATGGATTTAATGAATAGGGTATTCAAAGAATTTTTGGATCAGTTTGTAATCGTGTTCATAGACGATATCCTGGTATATTCGAAAAGTTCCGTCGAGCACGAGTTACATTTGGAAAAGGTTCTACAGACTTTAAGGGAACATGCACTCTACGCTAAGTTCAGCAAGTGCGAATTCTGGTCTCACCAAGTGGCATTTTTAGGATATGCAATATCCGAGGAAGGAATTTCAGTGGATCCGACAAAGATTGAAGCCGTCACGAATTGGCCGAAACCAATGACAATAACCGAGGTTCGGAGCTTCTTGGGTCTAGCAGGTTATTACAGACACTTCATGGAAAGGTTTTTGGTATTAGCGACACCGTTGACGTGGTTACTAAAGAAGGAGACGAGGTTTCAATGGATGGATAAGTGTGAAAGGAGTTTCCAAGAGTTAAAGTAGAGATTGACGACCGCGCCAGTGTAGACAATCTCGTCAAATCTGGGAGGATATGAGATATATAGTGACGCGTCGCTAAGGGGATTGGGATGCGTCCTAATGTAACACGGAAGAGTAGTGGCATACGCATCGCGACAATTGAGACCGCATGAACTGAATTATCCGACGCACGACTTGAAATTGGCCGCGATTATCTTCGCCCTTAAGATTTGGAGACATTACTTGTATAGGGAGAAGTTTCAAATTTATACGGACCATCAAAGTTTAAAGTACTTATTTTCCCAAAAGGGATTGAACATGAGATAGCGTCGTTGGATGGAACTCCTTAAGGACTATGACTGCGATATTCTGTATCACCCCGGAAAAGCTAATAAAGTAGCGGATGCACTGAGTCGGAAATCGACTATCGTGCATATGATGGTCAAGGAATGGACTCTATTGGAGGGAGTTCGGGATTCAGAGTTTAAGTTTGAAGTAAGTCATGTCTCAAGTCTACTTGCCACATTGAGGATTGAACCAGAAATCCAGACTAAGATTAAGGATTTACAATCGACAGACCCGGAGATTCAGAAGATTTTGGGTATGGATGTCACAAAAAGGAAATCGGACTTTCAAGTATCCGAGGATGGGATTCTGAAGTTCCGTGGACGGTAATGTGTACCCGGTGATGCAGAACTAAAGGAGGAGATTTTGTCAGAGGCTCACTATAACAATTACAGTATTCACCCGGGTAGTACGAAGATGTATCAAAACTTGTGACAGCATTATTGGTGGAACGGCATGAAAGTGGATGTAGCTAAGCACGTGGCTAAATGTTTAACATTCCAACAAATGAAGGCGCAACATTGCAAGCCAGGTGGAATGTTGCAGCCATTGAAAATCCCTGAGTGGAAGTGGGAACACATCACTATGGACTTTGTAATGGGATTACCGAGGAGTTAGAGGGGCCATGATTCAATTTGGGTGGTAGTTCACCAATTGACAAAGTCAGCACACTTTCTGCCGGTGCGAAAGGACTTCACCTTGGAAAGGTTTGCCGAGATATACGTGCGACAAATAGTCCGTCTTCACAGAGTGCCAGTGACGATTACTTCAAACCGTAATCCTAAATTTACTGTCGTTTTTTGGAAAAGTCTTCATACGACATTAGGAACGAAGTTACAGTTTAGTACGGCCTATCACCCTCAAACGGATGGCTAGTCTGAAAGAACAATTCAGACTTTGGAAGATATGCTGCGGGCATGTGTATTGGATTTTAAAGGTAGTTGGGAGGAACAGTTGCATTTAGTTGAATTTGCCTACAACAATAGCTACCAGCTGAGTATCAGAATGGCACCATTTGAAGTACTGTATGGCAGAGCTTGCACAACACCGGTTTATTGGGATGAAGTTGGTGAGAGGAGCATCACGGGTCCCGAGTTGGTTCAAAGAATCACGAAAGCAGATCAAGGTGATTCGGGACAAGCTTAAGATCGCTCAGAGCCGCCAAAAGAATTATGCAGACCGGAGACGTAGGCCTTTAGAATTTCAACTGGGAGATCACGTTTTCCTGAAAGTATCGCCGATGAGAGGAATGTCATGGTTTGGCAAGAAAGGGAAGTTGAGCCCGAGGAAATACGAACCGGATCCGACCCACGTGCTGAATTAT